GGCAAGTATGTTCTGCCTCCAATGCAAAGCTAAGGTTCCCAAGGTTATAGATCATCTTTTCAATCATCACATGGAAACCAATTTTCAAATTCTCATTTTCCTAATCAATGATCTTATTCTCAAGGAAATTCTAGAAGTCCCGCTTTTGAGGAGAAAGTGTTGACCGCTTTAGGTACTTTAGAGGCAAACACCCAATTACTTCATTCTCACTCCCAATCTATTGCAAAGCTAGAAACCCAAGTTAGGCAAATAGTAAGTACATTGAATGCCAGGGAAAAACGTAAAATGCCTTTGAATCAACCAAAGCAACAATTTATTGTGGAGACCAATTCCTCATCGAAAGGTCACACACTAGAGCATGTCAATGCGGTAACAACCTTGAGAAGTGGAAAAATTGTTGACAATCAAGTTGGTGTTCACAATGAAGAGAGTGAACCGTTGCAACCAAAATTTGACACTCGTCTCATTTTATATTCTATTCCTCTTTCATTGCATTTGCATGACCCCTTTGTTGAGAAAGTTTTGAAAGATGATTTAAAATTTCTTGTGTTAAAAGTGATTCCAAAAAGGATTTTGAAAAAGCTTTTGAGCCAAAGGCTCCATTTTCGGATGCTTTAAAATGATCCAATTCTCTTGAAAAGCAAAAGACCAACGCCAATGAAATAATTGAAGTGTTTAGGCAAGTGAAGATAAATCTTCCTCTTTTGGTTGCAATTAAACAAATTCTGGCTTATGCTAAATTCTTGAAAGATCTTTGTACCCAAAAGAGGAAGAATAAGAGCCAAGCACCAAAGAAAGTTGTCTTGACCGAGCAAGTAAGCTCCATCTTGCAACACAACACTCTTCCAAAATTTAAAGACCCCGGTTCACCTACTACTTCTTGCATAATTGGTGACCATGTCATTAACCGGGCTCTTCTTGATTTAGGAACAAGTGTTAACCTTCTTCCATATTCAGTGTATGTTCAATTGGGCTTGAGAGATTTAAAACCGACGTCAGTAGTTTTGCAATTAGCCAACCGATCCATCAAAAAGTCCCGGAGTATTATTAAGGATGTGTTGATTAAAATTGATAAATTCTTTTTCCCGGTCGATTTTGTTGTCACATACACAGAATCGGTCTCAAATCCCAAGAGCCAAATTCCTGTTAACCTTAGTCGTCCCTTCTTGGCAACCGCTAATGCCAACATAAATTGTAGAACGGGGATAATGAAAATTTCATTTGGGCATATAAAGGTGAAATTGAACATATTCAATCCAACCCCCAATTCCATGGACAAGCATGAAGAAGTGTGTGTTGTGGAAAAATGTCTTGAAAGTGACTTTGAAAAACATGAGTCTTTGCTTGGCAATGAAATTCCAAAAGGTTTACCTTCCGAAAGGATTCTAAAGGATGTTGTTTTAAAAACAAGTGTTGAAAGGGCATGGAAGCCCAAGAGTTTTGTTGACAAAAGGACCATCAATCTCCTTTGAATCAAATCCAACAAGTTCTTTAGGGAATAATTTGCTGGGTGGGATTCAAAATTCCATTCACCCCGTCAAGGAGGGGATACAATTTAAGATTTTTGATCCGGGCTAAAAGAGCCCAACGTCTTGCTAGAGACGTTATAAACTAGTGCATTTCGTGCATTTTATGCACTGCTAGTGAGATTTCGATCGATCAATCGAACTCCGATTCGATCGATCGAACTCCGATTCGATCAATCGAATCACCTAGGTTGAGGACCTTTCAAATTCCATTTCGATTGATCAAAGTCCAATTCAATCGATCGAAATCCATTTTGGATGGATCGAAGTTAAGGGTTCAATCGATTGGAGTTCTTCGATCGATCGAAAATGCGTCATTTGAATTTTTTGGAAATCCATTTGGCCATTAATCTTCTAAACCCTAATTTAATTTTTTATTTTTATTTTTAATTTTCTTTTTCTTTTTCTTTCTTTCTTTTCTCTCTCTACCTCCATCTCTCTTCTCCCTCTTGGCTGCCCCATCTTTCTCTCTCCCCTATTTTTCAAACCCTCTCAATCCGTCTCCCTCTATCTCACACTCTCCTAATCTCTCACTCCCCATAACAAAACCTAAGCCCCCACCTTCTCTTCCATCACCGGCGAGCCCAAGGAAGCTTCGCCGCCGACCTCCATTAAAGCCGGCGAGAGCTTTTGGCTATTCGGCCAAGCTCCTTCATCCGGCCAAACTCCTTTATCTTCCAAGCTCCATCCATCTCAAATTCTCTCTTATTCTTCGTCTCCAGCCGATTTAGGCCAAGGAGATCCGGTTTCAAGCACCGGCAAGCTTCTGCATATTTCGGCGAGCCTCCGGTCATCTTCTCCGACTCCGGCGAGTTCGGAAAATCTCCATTTTCGCCCAAATCTCTTCATCTCACTCTACTCTTCACCTCTTTGGGTCGGGTATGTGCCAAATATTTTTATTCTTATTTTTATTTTTATTTTGTTTTATTTTGTTTACTTTATTTTTTTTATTGTTGCTAGTTTGTTTTTCTAGTTTGCATTTTGTTTGTCATTTTTACATAATCTTGTATATAAAAAATGGATCATCAAAATAAAAACAAAAACAAATGAAAAATGAAAATGCATGAAAAAATGAATTAAATAAAAATAAAAAAATAAAAATTGAAAATTGTTTATAAAAATTTTTGGTAACATTTGATTTGGACTGAACTTTGATATATGTTGAATGGTGATGGGCACACATTGAAATTGAAAAATGAGATTTGGTTATTGTAGTTGTTAGAAGGAGAATGGGCAAAAATTGAATTGGATTTGTGAATTATTGTGGGCGGTGTCCCTATTTGCTTGTTGAACTCATTGAGTGCCATATATTCTTGAAATTAATGGTTGAATGAATGAAATGCATGAATTTGTTGTGTTGAAAAATTTTGGAAAGTCCATTTTGAAAGGGAAACCATGCCGGATTTTCCAAAAAATTTTGAACTTTGATTTTAAAATCCAAAAAGGCATGTTGTTTGATTTTGGAACTTGAGTTGGAATTTGAAAAGGATTTTAAAGTTGATTTTGGATTGAAAAGAAAGAAATTTTTAACTTGTTTTAAAATTTGAGATGTTGATATATTTTTAAACTTAAATGGCATTGCAAAGTTTGAATTGTTGTGAGCATAGTTCCACCTTGCCTCATTTGCTTGAATATGAAATGAATAAATGTGTTCTAAGTTATCTAACTTGAGTGCAAGCATGACTTGACTTTAATTTGTGCTTTTGAAATTGAAAATGCTAAGTCTTGTTTTCAATGCATAAAAATATTTCAAATGAACCTCTTTAAAAAGTTTTAATTGATTCGAGTGCATTGTTTTGGTAAAATGATCTTTCATTGATGAAATGCTTTGTGATCACACTTGTTGGGTTTCAAATGTTTAAAAAGGGAAATTTTTGAATTTTGTTTTGAAAATGAGAAGTCGGGTTGCATGATTCCTTCTTTTGTTATTCATTCATTGCATGATTCTTATCATGAAGTTTTTCTACAATGCAATTGGATGTCTTAACCCCAAAGTTTGTAAAAATTCCAATTTTGCCCCAAAAATGTAGAGTAATTCCAAAGTTAACCAAAATGCCCTTGTTTGAGTTAAAGCTTGTTCCATTTGATTCATTTGCATCCATTTGCATATTCTAAGTGCTTTTGAACTTGTGTGTGATGTAATTCTTAATTCTTGCCATGCTAGGGCACAGTTTCATGTCTTTTGACCTTCCTTATCATGATTTTTGATCTTCTCTTGCAAACTGAGTTGGATTGCCATTCCAACCCATCCGTTTGAAGTCAATTAATTCCATTGTTGCTTAAATGACTTTGAAACTTGTCAACTATGATCTCTTTTGAATAATTGTGTGCCCTTTGGAATAATTGCAACCAGTTGCTTATATATACACCATTTTACACACACTTGTATCACATTGACAGTTTTTGAGATTTTATGTGCATCTTTTGAGCCTGTTTTCTTAGACTTGATTTCTGACTAAGTTTGGGGGTACGTTATGGATTCTTGAAGTTTCAACTGCATGACTTGGATGATGTATCTGTTCTTTGGCCTTAGTCTCTCTTTTCGAGCTTCAATAAAATTTTGAAATGCATTTGACCTTAATCTGAAGCTATGCTTACTTTGTTTTGAAAAATATTTGTTTTCATGCCATTGTCCTGATATCTTTTGCACTTGTGATCCATTCTTGATGACCGAGGTTCTTTTCGGTCTAGATCTTGATTCCACTATGGTAAGCTTCTTGTATTCTTAGTATTTGACCATTCTCTACTTCATTTAAGCATTAAAGGGGGTCACGAGCCATAAGTGATCATAGGATATTGATTTTATTACATTGTAGTACGGGATATTTCTTTATCTAGAGCTTGTTGATATATGTACATCATTCTGATATATGCCATCTAGTTGCATACCATATCCAGGATTCATTCTTGAACTTGCCTGTCAAAACATGCCTTGGATTGTAGTGTTTTGCAACCATACATTTTGCTTAGTCTTTATTACATGATATGCCTGTTTCTTGAGTCCTAGGTTAACATTTGCCTTGCCTATATGTTTCATGTTATCCTGCTTACTGTATTTGATCTTCACTATTACACTTGTAGACATTCTTGCTTAGGAATTGATACGATATCATCCTAGGGTCTACTTATCATGTCATTGCAGCATCTACTTGAGTTTTAGGTTTGTGAATGCACGTGCATCATTTATGCACATCACAGCCTATGCTTGTCCTGTTGATCATATTTTTGCTCAGAATGTTGCATATGTGACTTTTCTGACCTCTATGCCATCATCACATATCTAAGATTGCTTATTCTACTTTGATCTATCCTGTCTAGCTGAGGCATGTTAAATGATAATTTTGAAGCTTTCTTATTCATTTCTTGCACAAGCATGATCCTATTTGTTTATTCTCTGTTTCTACTTGATTCAGGCATGCTTTGTGTTTTCTTATCATTTGCTTACCTTATCCTATACTGTGCACTGATTTATACTTGCGTTTTTGCAGATACAGCGTAGACGAAAGACTCTTGCTAGAAAAAGAGTATAAAGAGCTCCACAGCCTCCATCTCCAGTTGCAGAGCCTTCTTTTTCATCTTCTTCATCTTTTGCATCAATCCAGTTTGAGCCATCTGCCATGGACACTGAGCATGCTATTATCCGAAAGGTCCCCACTGAGTCTTACGCCAGTAAGACATAGGAGCCCAAGTACAGATTTGATGGAAACCTATTCTCTACTTGGATCAGACCAAATGGTCTTATGATGAGCTTGTGAGGCGGGGCATTGATGCCATTATGACTCTAGGAGACACAGTCATCTATCCCCGGTTGGTTGCTCTGTTCTACCAGTACCTCCGGATGGATGAGGATGACCAACTTCTTCTTCATACCACCATTGACGGCCAGGAGATTAATATTTCTCTTCCTGCCATAGCTGCTGCCAGTCATTGCCCCCACACTTCTCCATTGGCTGATGATTCTCAGGAGCCTCGATATCCTACTACTCCACCTTTTCCCACTGAGCTGACCATGGTAGCTACATTATCTCCACATGCTGCATTTAAGGGGCACACCTTTGCAGACCGGGTCGAGATCAATCCCTGATATTAGTTCTTTGATTCAATGCTACACTTCAATGCCTTTCTGATAGGCCATGGCACTCAGTAGTGAGAGGGGATCTTTCAGGCCCTATATTATCTAAACCAGGGGTACTAGATTTCTATTCCTGCACTAATTTGGGAGCTCATGCACAAGTTCTGGAAGAACCTGTATCACACACACAGTGCTAGAGCAGAGACTTGGCCCTTACCTTTTGGCCATTTGATTACTCAGCTGCTTCTAGACCAGGGATATCAATTTGACCCTGAGGAGATTCTGGAGCCTAATGCAGAGAGAGCGAAGAGAGCTTATGATCTGACTCAGTGGAATAAGACTTTCAATTCGTGCCATAAGAACAGGGATATGAAGAGACTACAGGCACAGCAGCAGAGAGTAGCAGTGCAGGCAACTGTAGCAGATAACGTTGCAGAACATACAGTAAATAGATCTCCCCCCAGATAGAGACGTCGCATTACCACTTCAGGTTCTACCTCCCAGCTAAATGTACCTATTACATCTCAGCAGACTGGCCCTTCATATGCCCCTCCTACTGAGTTGACAGCACATACCAGCATTAATTCTAGTTACAGATCAGAGGTAGCTCAGCTGCACACAGACTTCATATCTTTCAGAGCTGATATAACTGGGCGGCACGAGGATGTCATGAGGAGGCATGATGATCTGGTGAGGAGACATGATGATTTGGTAGGGAGACATGATGATTTAGTTCGGCGATCTGATGAGCTGAGAACTGCGGTAGCCGAGGTGAGACGTGAGCTTGGAGCTTTGAGGACTAACCTTACAGATTCTCTCACTTGTCACAACACCGAGATGTCTGCCATGTGCTGTTGGTTTCCTTGATGGAGTCGCCACAACCAACAAAGCTTGAAAGTTGTGTGTGAATTTAGGAGGTGGCCAAGTTTTACATTTATAGAAAGCCACTACTACCTTTCTCTATATAAAATATAGATAGGGCGAGTAGGGATCGTCCCAAGGGATTTGATGGTGTATCGAATTGTGAAATTATGGTAATTAGGGTTAGTAGGTCGAGTGATCACACAATTGGTTGGTTGGTTGATTAAGCTAAATTGAATTCAACTAAATAAAATAATATGAGGTAAACAAGAGAGAGAGAGGTCTTGGGGTGTAGAGATCACCACCAAGCAATACTTTTCTATACTACTAACAAGTGATCAATTGAGGGTAATGGATGTGTTGCAATATGATAAGGGTGTGTGTGCATTAGGTTGATTCAATTGGCAAGGATGACAAATCAAGCAAGTATTGTCTAAACATCATGTGAGGAGCACAATATATCTAAATAATAGAGCATATATTGTCTAGACAACATGGGGATAGCACAATAGATCAAAACAAGTCATTAATCCTTCATTAAGCTCACAATCCACATGCAACACAATATTAGAGGAATATGCCATTTGGACTCACAAGCATGGAACATCAAACATCAAGAGTAGATTGTCCTCCCATCTAACATTACACTACCACTACACTAAATCTACACTACTAGCATGAAAATAAAGCTATCTAGACTAGGGGAGAGGCACAAACCATCAAGAATAGGCATAAACCATCAAATGAACCAAAATAGCATTCATTAAGCATATCATCTTGATAATCTCTAGATCTATAGCATCAATACACATAGACATGCATCAAAAACACTAAATCTAGAGATAAGCACATAAATATCCTACTCTAGCATACATAGACATATGGATAGAATAGAATAGTCAATTGGAAGCATTAAACCATACAAACCATGAAATAATCAAGATTTATATATACATGAATATCAAGATGTATCATACAACACTAATCCCTCAATAATACACAAGATTAGAGTATAGAAAGCATGCTTGGGGCTAACTCTAGCCCCAAAAAGATGTCTAGCCACTCATGGTAGTGATGATCCAACCCTCAAGGGCTAACTCCATGGCTGCTCCTTGTTGATGGAGATCTTCTCCAATGGTTGCTCTAGCTTCCTCCCTTCTTCCTCTCTAAGAATAGCCTCCAAGATGATTTTCAATGTGTGACAAGAGACTCTAGAGCCCTTTTCCAAAAAGTGTATCATATTCCTTATATAGGTAGGTCAAATACACCCTATGATGAGCTGTGGTCGTGCAAGGCATATTCTCCAATGATTGGATGAAGGACGGAATAAATGAGCTGGACTTTAACTTTTTCTCACTAGAGGAAGTTCGATCGATCGAACCTTAACTTGGATCGATCGAAGATGGTTTCGATCGATCGAAGTGGTCTGACTCCTCCGGATAAGGACAAGGCTGAGATATTTCGAAGATATTTATGGGGAAAAGGACAAAAGTGGTTGGTAGGCGTACAGCTGTGGATAAGATCAATCATTTGAATAGGACAAAATAGGGTTCGATCGATCGAAGGTGATGTTCGATCGATCGAACTTGGAATTTCAGCAAAGGCTAAGGTTGGATCTATCGAGAAGTACTGTGATCGATCATAGATGTTCGATCGATCGAACTCTAAGTTGGATCGATCGAACTTTTCAGCTGCGCAACTTAATTCTTTTTTGCTCCTTTCTTTCTCCACTTTGCTCCCTCCTTTGGTTTATCTCAGGATTGCTTCAATTAAGCTCTTATTTGGCTGAGTTAGCTCAATTTTGGGATTAGTGCCTGAAAATATAAATAACACGTAATAAGTCTAAAACGGCAAAGTAAAATAGATAAAGGTACTAGAATGCTTAAGTTTAACGGGTTTAAATGCGCACTTTTCGGCGCTCATCACCATGCTGCAGCACATTACTGGCATGATGACCCCAAATCCTACCACCTGATTCTCTCCATTTTCTCTCTCCTACTCATTATTTCTCATTAATATCTGTCCTATTATGACTGAGATATTTCTGCACCATTTAGACACTTGCACTGGTTTTGGATATTGTTTGGATATTTTGGATATTTTTGGATATTATTGCTTACATTACACTAATACATTGATTTAGCATTTATTTTCTATATATATGGATTTTTGGATCTTTGATATCAGTTTTGGATATTCTGAGTTTTACACTGCTATATGCCATGATTTTTGCCCAATTCTCAGTTGCACATCTCATTTATATATCATTGATACATATGCTTTGATAGTTATTCGTGGGACAATTTTCAGACAGATTTTCGAAATCTAAGTTTGGGGGTGCGCCTTCCAATGCTAAGCTTCTGTTGCCGGGTCCCCTTTGCTTCACCCATTTGGTATACTCTTTTCATTATCTATTGCTTATTTGCACATTAAGGACAATGCATAGATCAAGTTTGGGGGTGTTAGCATATTTTACATGTCGCACTTACTTTCTATGCATGTGATATGATTTAAGAGTCTTGGGCTATGATTTTGATCTTTTGAGGACCATGATACTTAGAATTTAAAAATTGCTTGACTTGAGAGTCCAATACTCCTTGTATGCCTTGTGGATGCCAATTAGGAGTACAGTTTTTTGAAAGATTGATATCTTGCTTGCATTTGTGGTCCACATCATCTTGATTTTGTGATTATTTTGAGATTCACTCTAGGATTCTGCACTAGCCTAGGCGCACACTAGCATTCATTTGTGGGGTAAATGCTTTGTTGATTATTGATTTGGTTATATCCCAATCGAGCCAGTAGTGCATTGAAAGCTTTCATCTTGACAAAAGTGGATAACAATCCCTTTTCATTGAGTAGCCGGGATTCTAGCCTCATCAAGCATTGAATTTCTCGTGCCGAAAGGTGGAGGGCCCAAACTCTAGGTTAATAACTTGAAGAAGAAAAAAAAAAAAAAAACAAAAGCAAATAAAAAAGTGAGAACTTCTCCCAAAAGGTAAGAAGTGGGAAATGATTAGATGAAAGTTGTTTTTATTTGTAACCTAGTTGATTTGAGCTTGTAAGTCCTTAGAGGTGTTTAAACACCTAATGCCCTAAAGTCGTCCGGTTTGGGAGTCATTGACCTTACGCTCGACCTTATGGATCACTAGAAAGCTTAATAAATCACTACATTGCACCATGCTTCCATCTTTGATCCTCTAGGTTAGTAAAAAAAAAAAAATTTGAGTGAAAAGAATAAGCACACCTAGATGAATAAAGCTTTAATAAAAGGTTCACTCTTTGTTTTGATGATTGGTACTAAATTTGTGTGCTAGTTTGAGGATAAGGATGTGATCATTTCTTTAGTTGGCTTAGATAGCAACATATTTGATGTTGGTTCACTCAAAAAGGATTCTAGAGTTGTTTTGATTTGTATGATCATTTTCTTGATGTGTGAAGGACCATACTTGCTTGATTGATGTTGAGATTTTGGGAGATTGCTTGGAAAGGGTTGAAAAATTGCATACTCGATGTAGTTTTCTCCCAATGCTTGTTTTGTATATTGGTGTCTCTCTTGTGAGAAAGAGCTCAATGTTTGTGGGTATCATTTCTGGAAACCCTCACGAGACTTCACTCATTTACTAGGAGTAACCTAGGGGTTTAAAAGGCTTGTTGCATATACTAAATGTAATCGTGTTCCTATG